TGTACAGGTGTGCACAGGTCTGTATGTACAGGTGTGTACAGGTGTGCATGTACAGGTGTGTACAGGTGTGCACAGGTCTGTATGTACAGGTGTGTGCATGTGTGTATATACAGGTGTGCACAGGTGTGTACAGGTGTGTATGTACAGGTGTGTACAGGTGTGTATGTACAGGTGTGTACAGGTGTGTACAGGTGTATGTATGTGCAGGTGTAAAGGTGTGCACAGGTGTGTACAGGTGTGTACAGGTGTGTATGTACAGGTGTGTATGTACAGGTGTGTACAGGTCTGTATGTACAGGTGTGCACAGGTGTACAGGGGTGTGCAGGGGTGTACAGATGTGCACATGTATGTATATACAGGTGTGTACAGGTGCGCACAGGTGTGTATGTACAGGTGTACAGGTGTGTACAGGTGCGCACAGGTGTGTATGTACAGGTGTACAGATGTGTACAGGTGTGTACAGGTGCGCACAGGTGTACAGGGGTGTGCAGGGGGGTACAGATGTGCACATGTATGTATATACAGGTGTGTACAGGTGTGTATGTACAGGTGTGTACAGGTGCGCACAGGTGTGTATGTACAGGTGTGCACAGGGGTAGTAGTGTGTGCCTGTGTGTATGTACAGGTGTGCACAGCTGTGTACATGCGTGTACATACAGATGTGCACAGGTGTGTATATGTGTGTATATACAGGTGTGTACAGGTGTTCGCATGTGTGTTTGTACAGGTGTGCACAGGTGTGTGCATGTGTGTACATACAGGTGTGTACATGTGCGCACAGGTGTGTACAGGCATAGGTAGAGGTGAATTCAGGTGTGCACAGGTGTACAAGTGTGTACACACGGGTCTGTACAGGTGTGTGCAGGTACAGATGAATACAGGTGTGTACAGCTGTGCAGAGGTGTACAAGTGTGTACATGTGTGAACACGTGTGTGTGCAGATGAGTTCAGGTGTGTGCAGGTGTGGGTACAGATGAGTTCAGGTGTAGGTACAGATGAGTTCAGGTGTGGGTACAGATGAGTTCAGGTGTATACAGATGTGGGTACAGATGAGTTCAGGTGTGTGCAGGTGTAGGTACAGATGAGTTCAGGTGTGGGTACAGATGAGTTCAGGTGTATACAGATGTGGGTACAGATGAGTTCAGGTGTGGGTACAGATGAGTTCAGGTGTGTGCAGGTGTGGGTACAGATGAGTTCAGGTGTGTGCAGGTGTGGGTACAGATGAGTTCAGGTGTATACAGGTGTAGGTACAGATGAGTTCAGGTGTGGGTACAGATGAGTTCAGGTGTGTACAGGTGTGGGTACAGATGAGTTCAGATGTGTGCAGGTGTAGGTACAGATGAGTTCAGGTGTGTACAGGTGTGGGTACAGATGAGTTCAGGTGTGGGTACAGATGAGTTCAGGTGTGGGTACAGATGAGTTCAGGTGTAGGTACAGATGAGTTCAGGTGTAGGTACAGATGAGTTGAGGTGCAGGTTTGGTGCAGGACCATGTGCAGGCATTTCAGGGTGCACAGGTGCCTGTGAGTGCCACCAGGTGTACCCAGGTGTGGGGGTAGCGCCTGTGGGGTACCGGTGCGTGTGCAGGGGGGTGTGTGAGGTCTTGACCTGTGCTGGAAACCCCCAGGTGAGCTGTGTCACAAATCCGCACAGCCCCCTGCAGCTCCAGCATCCAAATTTGGGTTTTTAGACCGGCTTCCCCACTCCCTGCCTGCCCCACAGCCGTGTCCGCAGGGTGCCCGCCGATAAACTCGGACACGGGAGTGCGACAAACTCGG